TCTGGGTTATCAGTTTTCACGTGTATAAGGAAAAATTTACGGTGACTTCATTTTGTGTCTGGTTTGAATTTTAACTAGCAATCCACATGTTAAAAAATCCAACTTTTACACATATGATGTAAGAAATTGTTAAAATGATTACTAAAACTATAACTTACACAGCTGCTGTTTTATCCATAGCGCTGGACATTGCTGTTAGTAACGAGATGCTCTTCGTTCACTAAAAGTGGCGAATTAAGTCACTTCAGTCTGTGTTCACTACAAAAAAATGTTTGTTAGAAAAAAAGTATATAGATGACCCTAAACTACATTTCAAACAGCTCATTACCATGTTTTGTTATGAAACGATTCACAATAAAAACGTATTACTGTTATGAGCAGTAGTAAATATAAACATGAATAGATAACTTTTGTTAGTGGACTAGTGGAGGTTTCATCACGTGCTTACATCATATATGATGTGGGGAGAACTAGGCAGCAAAATTCAATCGGTTCATTCACATAATATCCTTCAGTCGAATATTCTTGTAGGGTCAGTGAAATTCAGCTGAGCCCTAGTCAAATCATCCTGCAGTTGTGTCATTGATTATCGAACAAATCATCGATCTTCATCAGAGTCAACGACAACCAACACGCATCAGTTAATCGTACGCCATGGACTGGCCCATGCTGTAGTGGTCTTACCTTCGCTTGTATCTACTTTACCTAATATATTCCTGCAATGACGTCCTTTGTGTTGTACAGTCTTCAAAGCATCTATAGTACCCTGATACATCAATGGGGTAATCCAAGTAAGGTGCTGACCGTGAGGTGTGACTTCGACGTTAGCTAGTTTGTCACATCATTCACGTCTCACTCGAGTAGGCCTTCAATCATTTTGACATAGATCATCTACGTTGGTGATCTACATTCTTATCATGATGATTTCATGACTTTTCGAATAATATAGTTTCTAATGTGTGCTATGCAAGTGATTCAGTCATTATAAGCAGTCTGGAGCAGAGTTTCCCTGAAAAATATCCACGATGTTGATAAATTGTTGATATGTAGATTTGCCAGTGCCGGAAACGTAAACGAAATTTGTGGCATGTCTGTTAATCCATAATCAGAACAATAATGTGGTCAATCATTTCAAGTTTGCACAAATCACGGTTTTTAATAGTTTGTTTAATGTTTTTCTAGTAGCACTTCGTGCGTCACATATCACATGTAATGTTGTATTGAAAAAATGAAATTACAGAATAACTTGGTAAGTCTGAGAATCGTATATCAAATAATTTATTTCTAAAATGTCTGTCCGTTAGTTCAGACTTGATTAGTCCTTCTTTTCCGCACCCGTCACTCTCTGTTTTCATCTTATTCTCCTCGATCTCCTTAACTTTCTGCCTCCGTGCATCTCACTTTCCATTGATGGTACAAACTACTTATATCTGTCAACATCATTAACACACAGCACAATATTGTTATCTCAGTTCTCATGTTCGTGAAATGTGAAATGGAGATATCTTTTTGAAAATGGTAAAGGCCTGTTATAGATAGATAACCTAGGTGCTTAAATTTTAGTAACCATATAGCTGTTCTTTGTTGACAGACCTAATCGGTTATCTTAAATGAACATCACTTTAAAAATTAAAGCTAAGTTGGATGCAATAGTCACTGTTGTTTCTGCATTTTTATACCAGATGTACTTTTTTTGTGTTCAGCAGTATCAAAGCCTCATTATGTTTGTTACGTGAGATACAGTGACTTGAATAACATGTGGAAATTAGCCTTCTTCGCTTTCAGAAGGCTTATTTCACACTAACTGGGAATGATATTGAGGTGTGAGCTGCTGACGTCGATAGATATAAGTAGTATGTATCATCAACTGAAAGGGAAATACACAGCAGGAGAAGATTAGGAAGATCGAAGGAAAGAGGACGTGAACAGAGAATGATTGGTGTGAAGATGAAGGAACAATGAATTCTGAAACGGGTGAATGGTGTTTTGCAAATGAAGTTTTTACTGTATGGGTCTCAGATTTTACTAAGGGCTTCTGAAATTTTGTGTTCAAATACATTCGATTGCCCCATTTGTGTTTACATTAAATACAATATTTATTATTTCATCTTTCTTTTCTACACGAAAATCAGAACATTCAAGCTTTCAGCTAGAAATTATGAATGCGATTTTTTAAAATTCTCCTTTGAGTTTAATCACACATTCACCAAAAAAACCGAACGAAATTATTCAGTGAAACAAATTAAAAATTTATAGCATATCTAAATGCTTAGCATTTCGATTATTGTTCTGTGATTAGATGGTGGTTGAAGGTAGTCGACAGGAAACCCCGGACGCGGGTTTCGTGCTACTTCGCACTCGTCAGCAAGGTGTACCTGTAATCTTGAAGGAACTGGTCCTCCCTGGCGGATTCGATCTCGTATCACCCAGCTTCACAGTCAAAGACGTTATTATTGAGCTATCCGAGCCGCTACCGACCATCTGTAGGACTGAAATGTAATCACAGTTGATTGATCACTGGGTGACCATCAATGTCATGCGTGTCTAGTCCTTATCAGTGCAGATCGAATGCTATCGACCATGTTGCAATGTGGTACACCTTGCTGACGAGTGCCAAGTAGCACAAAACCCGGGTCCAGTGTTCCTGTCGACTACCTCCAACCACCATCTAATCTCAATAAATAGTGCCCGCAGTGTCGAGTCACCTAGACTGGTGGCCACATTGCAACATGATCGATAGCATTCGATCTGCACTAATAAGGACTAGACACGCATTGATCGCCACCCAGTGATCAATCAATTGTGATTATTGTTCTGTATTTTGCAAAGTTGACATTAAATGCTATATCATTCATTGTAGAGTTTTTGAAAAATGGATTTTCGTTTCTAGGCAAAGTTTGCAAATTAAATAACTTGATGATTAAACCATATACTGATGAGAGGTCGAGATTATTTATTCTGATAACTGTCCTTGTGTATCAAGGATATATGGTGTATAGAAAAAATCTACATGAAGTACTTCTAGTGCCTGTAGTTAACCCTCGTTCTATTGATAGAAGAAACTAGATTAGCGGTGAACACGTCTTTATTTAGATTATGGGACAGTCACAATGGAGACGGAGATTACCTGTTTAAACACATAAAGCCTTTCAACACTCAATAAGAGATAATAGGAAATATGATGTCTATACGAAATAAGGAATTGAGTGAATATTTGAGCTTTATTTTTTTGATATATACTTAGTTGTTTGACGACCGCTCCTAATTCATCAAAGCTGTTACATACAAATCACGGTTCTTGGTTGTTAAGTTTGATTTGTATCTATGGGTGAGCGGAATTTCAAATGATAATCTACATTTTTGAAGAGGTGGAAATTAGCACAGTGGAGAAATTTCATGGCTAGATAACAGTTAGCAAACTGGTCATAAGCCGCTTCTGGTTCAATTGATTCAATCTTACTAAACGGAATACAGTGTTGATCAGTAATAATTGTATATTCAGAGACTTAGTTGTCATCATTGTATAATCCTGAAAATATTGGTGATTGATATGATGCAAACCACTTAAGTATATGTGGATGCAACTTTGAATTATTGAACAAAAAGGAATTTCTGAAATTGTGCAATCTAAGTAGACAGAAATAGGTGGGCACTAACGAACTTATTGTGTTTGGAATTAGAAATCAGGCATACACCAAGTACAAATGAATCATTCAATGGTTCATAAAAACACCGCAGATTTTTCATTGCTATTCGTATAAGCTCAACTGATAACAGAAGGGCGTTACGACTGAGTGGAATGATAAATGAGCTGATCGAGTTTTGTACATCTCTATGTGATCTGTGGTAGTATATCGCTTCGTATTCAGTTAGAGTGACGACTGTTGACTATGAGTAGTTCTCAGCTTGTCCGTGTTGTACAGATATCTTATTGTCTGATAATTCTACAAGGATCGGAACAGAAGTCACTTAGATCACGTGGCGACATTAAATACATTCACTTTAGTTGTCTGTTCCTAAACATCGAGGTATCCCTCTGTGTAAACACAGAATGAAGATGATGTGTGACATAATCACTCATGAAATATTCAGAGTCTTTGAAATAACTAAGAATTGCAATTTAACTCCAGGAGACAGATCAATATGTTAGGTTTTTGTCTCAATAAGATAATCAACATGATATCCTCCAACAAGCTGATTTGAAGATTATTTCTGAAATCAGCAATGTGACCTGTGATCAAATGTATCTCATGTGACTGTAATGGAATGTCAGAAAACAAACTTTGTAACGAAACCAAAACTCTACAATAAGGGACTCATTTCTATTTTATTATTGAATATAGACTTATGTTCTGAAAACTTATTACAGAAGCTTGGCCACGATAACTATTAATGGTATGTAATTTATTCAAAAACTTGGGCTCAAACTACAATATTCGTGATAAAGTAAAAGCAACATTAAATATTTAACCATTTGTTCAGTAATATCACAAAAATCAATGTTTCATTCTATCCCTATAAATGTAAATATGAGAGCTACAGCGAATACTATTTTTCAGTGAGTTTTACTTCGAAGTATATTCCTACTCATATCAAAAGCCAATTAGGTTGGGTAATGTTTTCGTGATAAGTTGAATCAATCTTGGTGTTGACAGTATGTTGTTATATTCTTCTTTATCTACAGGTTCATAACATAACTGATCACTTCTACTGTTACGATCAGATAAGCTAGTAATTGTTGGATCACTCAAAATCTAGTCACTAGTTTGCATGCTTGAACTCTTCTGTAGTTGTTTCGAGTTTTGTAAACTAAGTAGTATGTTGAATCAACAAAGTGACTCAACACGCGGTACATGAACGTTTAATTGATGATGAAGTTTTAAGATTTGATGTGATCATTTTCCTCACTGACATGTAGCATAAACGCATAATAATGAAAAGTTATTTTCTCCTTTCTGTTTATCAAGCAAAGTTAGAAATATTATGGCTAAACATAAACACTTTATTCTCTGAAGAAGTGACTTACACTAAGCCACGAAGCGTCAGAAAATCTAATTTTTCTACTCGTTAGGATATTACAAATTTATTATTTATACCCTTTTTACTTTCATATGAAGTTTAATAATAAATTTATCCCAGTCACGGTGCAACAACAATTCCCACTTGTTGGGATGTGTAATTCTCTTGCGTGTTCCCAATGACCAGAAGAATTCGGAGACCATCGTTCAACTGAAGAGATTGTTGAATTGGTTTCATCACTCCAACCTCCAATGACATATATCGTGTCGTCTAATGTAGTAACACAACAATTACTTCTTTTATGCATCATTGAAGGCATCATTTGCCATCGATTTGTATCCGGATTATATCGTTCTACTGTTCGTAGTCTTTGACGTCCATCGTTTCCACCGATGGAATACAAATATTGACCATATACAATAACACTAACACCACTTCGAATACTATTCATTGGAGCTACTATTGACCATTGATCTGTACGGGGATCATACATTTCTACAGAATTATGAAAATGCTCACCATCGAAACCTCCGACAGCATATATAAACCCTGAAAATGAATGAGCTCCTGCGTCACTACGAACTCGATGCATTGGTGAAACAAAAAACCACTGTTTTTGTTCTATATCATACCGTTCAACTGAGCTCAGTCGAAATTTGCCATTATGTCCACCAATAGCATATATATAATTGTTTAAACTACATGCACACACATAATTTCTTTTCTCATGCATTGGTGATAAAATCTTCCATTTATGACTGGTTAATTCAAAAACTTTAAGAGTTTGAGTTGGCCCACTAGGCACATAACCACCTACAATGTAAATTTGTGTTTTATGCAAAACACAAGCAGAATAAGCATGACCCACATTAAGAGTTAAATCATCAGAATCTATACGACGCCAAGTGTCAGCTCGTGAATTATACACTTGAATTATTTTAGATGGACCAAAATAAGAATCATGTTGATTTCCTTCCCATCCACCAATGACAAAAATTGCATTATGAGGAAGACGTGGTTTATGAAGATATGTGAAAAGTTCAGTTTCATCTTTTAATTTAAAAGTTAACATATTATTGAATTGTGAAATTAATTCTATATTAGAATAACGTGCTAAACGTATTAAATGATGACATGAATTCCACATTGTTTGTACTAATGAATGTTGTGATATATCATCTAAATATTCATTTGATAATCTACCCAATCTTAAACATGCTAATAAATCATAAATATAGAATTGTCTTTCTATCATTTTATGATGAATCCATTTTATAATAAGATCAAATAAATATTTTTCATTTGAAATATTCAATGAATCTTCTATTAATAATTTTTTAAATTCAATAAAATTTATATTTAAAAATTCTTCATATTGACTAATTTCAATAAAATGAATTAATAAATAATTCAAAGTGATCAATTGATAGTTTGGTAATTGATTTATTAATTTTTCAGAATTCATCCAATAATTTAAACAATTTTTTGTATTTAATTTATATTGAACCATTTGAATACAATCATTTATAAATTCAAATGTTTCATAATATAATCCTACTTCTAATAATGAATTAATAGTAGATGGTTTAATATTATTATTTAATAAATTATAACGAGTTTCATGATTACAATGAATAAATGATAATAAACATTCTAAGGCATAAATATTTGTATAATTAAGTATAAGTGGTTGAAATTGTAAATCAGATAAACTTTTAGGTTGTAATTGATACTGTGATTTAATGATTGTTGTTGTTGTTCTTCTTCTTCTATAATGATAATTTATTAATTCAAATTGACGTAATTTAATTAGTTCATGTTTAAAAATTGTACTTGCTTTAGCAAGTTTAAATCCACTTATAGAATGTACATGACTATTGTTTATAATTACTTTTCGATCAAGAAGATAATCTGGAAGTGTACTAATGAAAAAACAATTCGACATTGATGATGTGGACATAATTTCAAATGTCTGATTTTGATACTACGGATATAATTTAATGTGTCGAATTGATATTACATTTTGAATTTATTGACAATTTCGAAAAAGGTCGATAAGTAGAAGTGGCCAGTTTAAAAAAAGTTATTCATCAATATTATTGGCTTTATTCAATATTATATTTTCTGCACAATATAAAATTCTCAGCGTTTATTATTTCTTGATCGATCCTGATGATAAATATTGAGTGATCACCAGTTTGTTATCAGCATTTCAGAAGTTGACATTCTTTCAATGCACATTGCCAGCCATCACGATGTCTCCAATTGTAAATGTTTGTAACATGTACAGCGAAGGGTAGTAAACTTCACAAACGCACCTGATATAGGTTATGCAACTGATTGACATGGTGATCTGTTGAAACAAACAAGGAATTAGATAACCTGTTGAAATATCTAGAAGGCAGTAACAGGTAGCCTAGATATTCATGCAGGCCAATAATTATCGAATGATATGCAACTACAAACATTGATAATAATACTAATTATTGAAGTCAGATTCTTAAAATAAATGAATAATCAAAACTTTTGTAACAGAATGAAATAAAAGTTATAGGCAATACGGATTTATTGTAAAGATCATGTGTACCATTTAATGTTGTGAAGTATCTTAAAGTATGAATTTTATTTGAACTGAATGAAATAATCGAAACTTATCGAATAAATAATTAACTTCAATCAACTGAATAAATACAACAAATCCAATTGAAGTGTGATAAAATTTTAAGTAGCTTTCAACTATCAACCACTTGCTGATACGTGCATTTACGTTTGCATTGGATCCTATTTGTTCGTCGAAGGTGCTTCCGGGTATGTGAACTCTTCACTGTGTCATTTATTTGTTTCATATTCCCTTCTCTTGCACCTTTTTCTGCTGTCGTTACCAGCTCTTACACGTTTTATTGATTGTCAGATCTAATGCTGCTCCTCATTTACTTGCTTACTTTGATGAACTCAGCTTGTGCCATCACTTTCTCTGTTCTTGTTTGACTGCTGTTAATTGCTGTCTTCCTCATCTTTCTTTCTTGAATCTTGTCCGGGGTTTGGAAAGAGACTCATTCCTTATGATGATGCTTGTTGTGGCCTAGAACCTCCTGACACGTCGAAGTTGGTGCTTCTGTCATCCCCTTCCAGCTGACCTCCATAGAAGTTTCTTCATCTTGCATTAGACGTAGTAAGGCTTGAAACGTGTTGTTGAGAGCGGTCTTGAATTTGTTGAATTCGATTGTATGTCGAAGAAAGTAAGTATTGAACCTTCGCATTTGTGTTTGTCCACTAATCCAATGCTTCTTTGGTTTTAGTTTCACCTTAGCAATCATCAGGTGGTGATCGTAAAATATGTCATCTCGTCTCCTGATTCTCACGCCTTCAATTGATCTTGTGAATATATTAGTTGTACAAATATGATCGATCTTGTTCTGTGTGATATGGCCCGTTGATACACATGTAGCTTTCTGTGGGAATATTGTATTATCTATAGCCAATTTGTTGAATGCATATAAATTTGCAAATCTCTCAACATTCTCGTTTGTTTATTCCAGTCATTCCATGTCATCCTATGATATCTTAAAACCTGGTGTTGTTCATTCCGACTTCGGTGTTTTGGTTTCCCATCAGGATGACCAGGTACTTCAACGAGCACTTAGCTATCATCGATTGCAGCCTCTCGTAAAACTAATCAATTCCGTAGTCATTGCTATCGTTAGTGGGTGTATTACATTGAAATGCAATGCAGTTCCCTACTGCTTTGCTTTGAAAGATTCTTTGATGATCATGGGTCTATGAGATTCCCATCCAATAAGTGCATTTTGTGCTTCTTTGGACAGCATCAAAGCAATTCACTGAATATGCGCTACACTTTGCTCTTCATGATCTGAGTACTGAAGCAACTCTTCTGAATTTATTCATTTCTGTCCAGCTTGGATTTGATGTGTTTCATTGATTTTGAGCACCACCTATTTGTATCCCTCATTTCCATAGCTATTTAACTAGTTCTCCCGGTTTCCCACATTTTCTGAACATTTCATGCACCAATTAAAATTGTTGCTCTGGTCTTGATGTTAAACGGGGAATGACATTCACCACGAGGCATCATAATTCTTCAGGAGCAAGAAACCTCAACTCAGACAACACAGTTGAAATGGTTTAATATGTTTGTTCTGGTTGGCGTTTTTAGCAGGGTTGTTTCTTTACGGGATGCAGATGCCGTCCTCATGCCCAACCCTCCTCCTTTTTCTGGGATCGGGACCGACAGTAACCCTAGATGAACAACAGGTGTGACTTAGTTTATTTTAGTTTAGGTAAAAATTAACTCATTCTAACTAGCTTATCTGTGATTGGTTACTCTCAGACGTTTGGTTGGCTGCATTTTTCTTTGTATTCCTAATGATCACTTTATTCTGTTAACCTATTTATACATGATTAACTGACGTTTCCTGTATAGGTCTGTAAAATAGGTCCATGACGACATGCCTAATGAATTCTGATTGAATTCAGTTCTGTGTTTCCAGAAAGTTTCTCAATAGTTTGGAATCAACCAATCCAGGATTTCGAGGTTTTCCCAATCAAACTCGTATCTGTAGTTGTCTTCTTTTACTGATGCAAGCGATTGCATGTACGTTTATGTATGCGTAAACGGAGGAGGCATTCAGTTAATTTAGTGTAAATTTTGTTGCAGCTGGCGTAATTTCTTTTATGGATATGTTTCAGACAGAATACATACTATAAGTAATACAACATTCATTTCCAATGAGAATAAGTAAACGAACCTCTCTTTGTGTATGTATGTTGTAGAATACGAATAACATCCACGGTGATAGGAACCCTTTATTATTATTTGCAATTACTGCCTTTCATTACGAAGCTGTGCAAATTGTTGAGTTTGATTGAAATCAGGAGCTGGTCCAGGTTTTCGATGGTTATCTAACTTAGATTGATTAGTGCTTTCAAGAAAATTATTTATTTGTTTATATTCAGCAGAAATTTGACCACTGACACTTATTTTAGTGGCGATAAATGTAAATGATTCTTCATAAATAAGACGAATTTAGTCATTCTCATTGTTAAAGCAAATCATTCAATAGTTAAGATGGTATTTACATTAAGGAATAAACAAAAGAAGCTTATGAAAGTTAATATTTACAAAACTGATGTGAACTATGATTGTAATCTAGCATTTAGTTTGTACTTCAGAATGTTTATCATTTTCGATGGAACATTATCATGAATCATTTTTATAATTATTTACAATGGAAGTTTGCTTAGTTGGTGCAGGAATGTTAGTATTTATAAACATAAAACAAGTTGAAACATATCATGTTGTTTTCATTGTAGTTGATAGATTTCCTTTTGAATACAAACTGTTTGTTCTAAATATCCATATTGTTAATATAAGTTTCTACCATTGTGAATTGTTTAAAACTATTAGGAGAAATATACAAACTAGGATTGCAAACCAATGCTATCATTTTAAGTACAATAAATACACACAATAATAATAGTGTGGTGTGTGTATTACTGATGTCGACAGATATAAGTAGTATGAATAACCAATCGGAAGTGGAATGCCTGGAGGCAGAAGGTTGAGAAGACGAAAGAGAAGTGAACGAGAAAAAAGAGTGATTGGTATGGACATGAAGTATCAACGAAGTCTGAGACAATTGATGGACATTTTGCGAATGAATTATTTAATGTACCATTCTCAGATTTTACTAAGAAATTCTGTAATTTCATTTCTCAATATATTTAGTTGTCCCTATCTGTGTCCTCGTCACCTACTTTACTTGTCGCCTCAATAGTAATGATTAAGATGTATAACGTGAAATGTTCGACTTGTCAATCTATCGATCATTTCCATCAAGTAAAGACATACGTAAAGCATGATTTGTATTCTTTCGTCTACAAGGATAACTCATATACGTCATCAACAGAATTTGAACGGCACTAAACTATGGAACTATATGATATTGGTTCTCTCACAGTGATCAATCAGTATAGCTGATAACTAAACAGTTCAAACCGTTAATGTTAGCGGCATTGAAATGATTGTAGAGTTGTTTTACTTTTCCATTGTTAACAATAAAATAACAGAAATAGTGAATCTAACAAATCTTAGTTAATTTGTGTAAAACACAATCTACGTTCCATACGGAATTCCTAACACGTACAACTTTGTAAACAAATTATAATTTTAGATTATCATTATTATAATTAGTTGATTTATTCAATTTTACATTTTTGGTACAGTATAGAATCCTCATCACAATATGATGAGTTTAGTTTAATTAAATAGCTCTATGCTGATTTTCTTTGAATAAATTAGAACCAATGAATTTAATGAGATATTATAAGTTTACTAATCATTTCACTACATTAACTCGAATCCAGTAGTGATTATCAACTTTAAGATTCAGGTGAATCCAGCTGACGAGTCCCAAATTAGATTCCACTTCTAGCCACCATCCATCTTTGCATGCACAGCTTGTGACTTAAGGCAACATCGAGACAATCCGCACAGGATGCATATGTGCCAATAACAGACTTGTCAAATGCAGTCCTAAACAACAATCAAAATATACAAGCAAACAACACCAAGTTAAATTAATTCATTAGTTTGAAAGTTTAAGATTTGAAGTTGTAAATACTTCATTGATATATATGCGGTGATGATCTTTCATTCACATGACTGTCAAGTAAAAACAACACTTATGAATGATATAGTTACAATACTCAATTGCCTTGTAATGTGGGATTTGATTACGTAAATGACAATAAAATGCAAATACGCCTCAACCATAGTTAAATTTTGATTGCAAATATCACACAAGTTATTTGACTTTAATGTTCCGTCTACAAAGCTTCTTAATTGTTGAATATTTTCAACACGAAATCAACTGTATTTCTTGATGTTTTTTCGAAGACACTGAAGGTGACAGTTATCTTGGACAGACATTATCTTCTAAGCGTTTAGAGGTCTTACTGAAAGT